AGACATAGAATACAAACTTGTGGTTGCCAAGGGGGAGGCGGGTGGGAAGGGACAGACTGGGAGTTTGAAATTTGTAGATACTGACAGGTATACATAGAACAGACAAACAAGTTTATACTGTATAGAACATGGAAATATATACAAGATCTTGTGGTAGTTCATGGTGAAAAAGAATGTGACAACGAATATTTGTATGTTAATGTATGCCTGAAAAATTGTGCTCTACACTGGAAATTGACAAAACACTGTAAACTGACTATAACTCAAAAAAACAAATAAATAAAAGGGGATTTCCCAAAAGTTAAAAACAAAAAAAAGCTGCCCTTCTAAACTGTTAGTTCTTCAGCTCCCAACAGAAAGAAAAGAAGGTTGGGACAAAGTTTTCAGTAAGAGAAATAAGGAGCCCCCATTTAATAAGACAAAACAGTGGATATACAGTGAAATGTCAAAGACAGAAAATTTAAACATACTGACTATAAGATGTTGGAATTCAGATTGTCTCTTACCTCAGATCTCAAACTACAGTTTTATATATGGTATTGTTTCATAGTTATGTCATTTCGGTACTTCACTTATTAAAACCATTGAACAGAATTTAAGACGGATTTGCCTTTAAGAATTAGGATGTGAGGACTGGCAGACATAAAATATTTCTATTTAGATCCATTTATCACATTTCAAAATAAAGACTGCCTTGCATTTTCTCACATACACCACTAATGCATATGATTAAACAAAAGGGAAATAGAATTCATGTAAGTCTAAACAGTCTTCTGTTAGTGGAATCTTAGTAGTCTTCCATTAGTATTTACTGTACCTGCCTTTTCTAGATATAGATGAACCGAGGGTGGGACTGAAGTTTTCTATAAGACTGTCTCCCTGCATTTTATGTTTTAGTTCAGTAATCTGTACTAAAATGGACTGTCTGCTTATAAGGGTGTAACATCAGAATCTTGTTTTGAGCTGAGGAATTAATATTAAATGAAATTTCTCCACTTCAAAAAAGGTCATTGGTGAGAGAAAAATTCAACTGAAAATGTTCATTTTTTTTTTCTTTTTAAAAGATTTCTTCACATGAAGAACATGAAGGCTCAGAATTGGTTGCAGGTGTGAGTGAACCAGAAATTAGATGAACCAAAAAAATAATTTCAAGAGACCCTTGAATGCGATGTCTTTAATGATATGCTGAGATAATCACTGAGGTTGTATAATAAACAAGAGGCACTCAGGATTAAAAAAAACATAGCAGAGAAAATTGCTGAAATATTTGCTTCAGACTTAACCAACGTAAATGTGTGAGGCATGAATGAATGGTTCACTTAATCAGGATTTCAATCAACCTAGCTTGGTTCAAGTCCTGGCTTCACCACCAATGATCTAAGTATTTTGGCTGAGTCATGTATCTTCTCTATCAGATGAAAACACCGGCCAAAATCTGTGGGGTCCAGTGTGGTCAAATATGTTTAGCAATAAGGTGAGTGGCAAAACCCCTGGGTACCACTACTGTCTAGTTTATGCCCTTCCCCTCAAGTAGTCCAAATTTACAATTTTAAATTGTTCTTGTTCTTAGTCAACTAATCCTAGCATAGATATTAAATGATCAGGTTATTATTCGTACCTCCAGACCTTCATGCAACTTTCTTTTTAGCAACTATTATGTACCAGAAATTGACCTTTCCACAGCTCAATAGTTTTGGCTAATAAGGCTTAAAGTGACAGTAGACAGAGAGATGATGCCTCATTTCATAGTCTTTCCCCTTTCTTGACTTCTTTCACGCAGAAACAGCTATCTGGATAGTAGCTTTAAGGTGACTCCTTCCATTTCTTCCTATTTAGCATGAATGACAACAAACTGACTTTGGGCACCACTTTTAAAAACCTTGAAATCCCTAAAATATCCTGCTATTTAGAAATAAAAGTTTGTATTATGTGTTTTACTTCTGGTCACTGTTCTTGTAGAAAGATGTAAAAAAAAAGAGAAAAGTCCAAGAAAATGGCAACTAAAATGATCAAAGGGCATCCATAACATTTAAGTAAAATTCTTCAAAAGAATCATCAGATCTATAGATTCCTCCACACTTTGAGTATTTAAAGTGAGCATTTGTAGCTGAAAATTACTTCTTAAAGAGAGTTTCCACATATACAGTCTTTCAACAACCTTGAGAGAGACATCGGGATAGGTATTGTCTACATTTTATAGATTAAAAAAAAATGGAGGTCTGAGAGATATTATGACTTCTTCAAATTCTGATGGCCAATGGTAACTGGAAGAACTCAGCCTTGGAATCTGATCTCATACTTGTTCCACTTTTCCAAATTAACTGAACTAACATACATTCCCATTCAGTCTCGACAGAAAATAGCCAGAATTGTTTTTCCCAATCTCTACCCTGTCTCTAAACCTATTTTCTCTTCAAACTGCAATTGACGTTATATACTTCAATCTCCTTATTGTCCTGTTTCTAATCATTTCAAATGATGTAGACATATCTGGTATTAGTATACTTAACTTATCTGATTTTGAGTTGGGAGTCCTCAGAGAAAGAGGGCTATTTCCATGTGTTTTGCTCAACAAACTTGTATTAAAACAAATCAAATAATCCTTTTGTTACTGTCCTAAGAGAATGTCAGAGAGGATTTAAGGGGCTGCTTAGAGATCAGCAGACTATGGCTCAGTCCTTTACATCTTGTCTATGTCTGCTTTCGTACTACAGTGGTGGAGCTGGGTAGTTTGAACAGAGACTGGATGGCCTACAAAGCCTAAAATATTTACTCTCTGGCCTTTTACAGAAAAAGTGTGCCAACTCCAGGCCTAGATAACCGTATATAGAGTCATTTCCTGAAAACTGACTAAGGAAGAAGTAAAGCAGAATGGGTTGTCCTCTGTTTCTTTCTAGGAATTTGATACTTCATGAGCTTTATTATCTCAGGAAGAAAGGATGTTT